TTTCAAGGAGAAGAGAGAATTGGGGGAGGAGGTAGGCAGGAAGAAAAGTACAACAATGAATGACTGGAAACACTAAGTCTCTGTAAATTTTCACTAAAATTAATAAAAAAATTATTAAAAAAAGTGCAAAGATTTGCTTGATTCAGGTAAAAAACTTAAGATACCAAATTCATGCTTAATAGCACTGGGCACTTTAGCAGTCCTCAAATTTGTGCCACTATCTAGGATCCTAATCAGTGAAAGGTTTTCATAGAATAAGCAACATGTATGGATTTCCTATGTCAATATAAATGAGCTTTCTACAGCTACCACTTTCCCTCTTAGAAGATTAAGGATACTACTGTTGTTGTTAAGTGCCTCCAGTTGACTATGACTCACAGTGATTCAAGAACAGTGGATCTGAACCCTGACCTATACAAAACTGCTTAAGACATACTGCTATAAGGTCAATTCTAACTTAGTGGTCCTACAGGACAGAGAAGAACTGCCCCATAAGGTTTTAAGTCTGTTAAATCTTTTAAGAGCAAACTGCCTGTTTTTCCTGAAGATAAACTTCTGAGTTTGAACTGCTAAAAAAGTTAGCAGTGAACCATTTTAAACAATAATTCAAGGAAAGAAACACATTTATCACCAAATACTCTGATAAAAACATACTACAGTATATATTATCCTACGATACGTACTATATGGTAGCATACACTATGAGATATATGTATATATAAACTCATGTAAATAATTCATATCGTGGATTAGTTTATCCAAGGGCACATAATTGTCTGAGTTACATATAATAAAAAATTACAATAATATTATGCTTTGATGTTATCTTCAGTGTTTGACCTTCAAACTTTAAAATGTCTTTAAAAAACATACACATAAGAGATAAGCTGTCCTCAGGTTTTATGAATCTCATGTTGTTTTTCTGTTACTAATTAACTTCATCCTATATATGTGAGCCAAGCATCTTTCCATTTTGAGTTTAATGAAGGTACAGGACTGAAATACATTCCCACCATCTGCTCTTTCATCCAGAGGTCAATGAAATCTGTCATTAGTTTACCATTACCTCAGGCCATCCTGCAGGTCATTCAGAATGATGAAATGATGGAATGAGGAAATGATGATAATATTAATAATGGCTAACACTCACTGATGTTTTAAGAACTCATAATTAACATATGGGAATCTCTGGTGGCATAGTTCATAGGTAGTTGCACTGCTAACCCAAAGGCTGAGCCTCTCAGGAAGTCAAATTGACCAACACTGGCATCATCTGAAAGATGAGTAATCTCTTCCCATGTGATTCATCCTCTTGGAAACCCAGTGGAGGGTCAGCTATAAGTCAGTTCAACCTTAACAGAAATTAATGAGGATTTCTAATCCACCACCTTCTCCTGTGTAATTTACTGCCTCTGAAAACCTGCAATTTTATTAACAATACAGAACAACAATAACAGAGGTTAATAAACCTCTTAAACAACCATCTGTTTAATATTCCAAATAACCTTTTAAGGTAAATAAGTAGTAGAGTGTGTGGCAAGTGGGAAATGTTACATAATAATATTAAGGATAATAAAACTAAAGCTTCAAGGGATTAAGTAACTAATCAGGTAAGGACTGGATTTGAACCTAAATACCTGTGTCCTTCTATTAGTTACCATTCTCTTCTGCCTCTGTTACACATAAAAAGTGGGCATATGAACTAAAGTAACTTGATGCTGTGGTCCAAAGAAAACAGGCAACCTCACAATCTCAATTACTGAGTGTCCAAAAAGTGCTAAGAAAGAAACTTCTTCCTAAAGCCAAAACCATAGAGTTGGCACCAGACTAAATAACCCTCTTTTGGGTTTCCAGGCTGTAAATCTTTACAGGAAAAGACCGCTCATCTTTCTCTCACAAAGCAGCTGGTGATTTTAAATCACCAACCTTTCTGTGATCAGTCAACATATTATGTAAAGCCAAACATAATATCAACAAATTGATTTCAACTCACAGTGGCCTGACAGGACAAAGTAAGATTTCTGTATAGGGTTTCAAGGGCTGTGCATCTTCAGATGTTGTTGCTCACAAGCGTAACTGAGTCAAGTATGACTCATAGCGACCCTATGAACAACATATATGGACCCTGTCCTGACCTGTGGCATCTTCACACTTTCCAACACTCTAGAGCCCATTGCAGTAGTCACTGTATCAATCTACTTGGTCAAGGGTCTTCCTCTCCTTTGCCAATCCTCCACCCTTCCGAGCATCACATCCTTCTCCAAGGAATAGCTCCTCCTAGCAATATGCCTGAAGTATGTGAGTCGTTCTTGCCTCCAAAGAGCACTCTGGCTACACCCTCTCCAAAACATATTTGTTTGTTCTTTTGGCCATCCATTGAATGTTCACTGCTCTTCTCCAACACCATATAGCTCAAAGGCATCAATTCTTTTTCTGTCACCCTTTATTCACTGTCTAGCTCTCAGATGCATTGCAAGTAATCTGAAGGACAATAGCCTGAATCACACACCTTAGTCCTTAAACTGACATCATTACTCCTCAATAATTTGGAGAGGTCCCTAACTGTAGATTTTCCCAGTGCACTGAGTCTGCTTATTTCCTGGCTTCCTAATTGCTGGTATCAAAGGTGTTAACGGTAGATCCAAGTAAGATGAAGTTGTTGACAGTTTCCATTTCTTCTCTCTCCATCATGATATTGCCTATTGGTCCAGTAGTAAGAATATTTGTTTTCTTGACATTGAGATGTAATCCATACCAAAGGTGGCATCCCTTGATCTTCTGCAACAAATGGCTTCAAGTCTTCCTCACTTTCAGCAAGCAAGGTTGTCATCTGCATAATGCAGGTTATTGATGAGTCTCTCTCTGATCCTGATGCCGCAATCCTCTTCATAGAGTCCTACTTCTCAAATAATATGCTCAACTGAATAGGTATGGAGAGAGAAAACAACCCTGATGCAAACTCCCTTCCTAATTTTAAACCATGTAGTGTTTCCCTACTCTGTTCGTACAACAGTCTCCTGGTCCAGGAATAGATTTTACATGAGCACAATTTAAGTGCTCTGTAGATTACTATTATCTTTCTCCTGCCTACCTAACAAAAAAGCTTAAAAAATGTGTTTTGGAGGGCAAAAAAGAGGCAAGGAAAAGTGCAAAGGGAGGAGGTGTCAAGTGGAGGATCACAAAGCCCAGAGATACATAAAGTAGCATATATTTATCAGAAATGAGCCTAATAGGGTGTCAGGACATGTTCAGGGACAAGGCCACAGACTGGACATCAGAATGCTTTCCTTTCAGTTAACTGAACAAGTTACAGCAATTAAGTATTTCAAGGGGTAGCAAGTGCCACAGTGTTAAGATGTGAAAATACAGAAGAATTCAAGAATTTTGAAAGCAATTTTTTTTCTAGCATTGTTATCCTCGGAGAACTATACTAAAACATGGAAGGAAATTAAGTATGTTTGAAATCTCATTACTCCCTTGTGGATACATTATCATACAATAAAGATATACAAGGCTACTTTCTTCAAAGTTAATTAACCCTGCAAGTAAGAGGCATGTCATTCACTTAACTCCAAAACAGATATTATCAATGTTTCTGGAGTTAAGAAGTCTGGAGACAAAAAAATTTTTAAAAATGCAATATCATATTTCATATCCAACCCAATGTCATCCAAGGCACAAAGCATGTTTCCATGCATCATACTGTAAGCTCTTTGAGAATCAAAGCAAAAATCAAACTAGTTGCTATGAAGTAGATTCTGACTCATGGTAACCATACAGGAATGTTGTTGTGCCCCACAGAGTTGTTTAGCTGTAATCTTTACAGAAGCAGATCAGCAGGCCTTTCTTCTGAAGAAACACTGAGTGAGTTCAATCTGCCCACCTTTTGATTAGCAGCCAAACCTGCATTTCTGGAACAAGCAGGGCACCCTGTCCTTGAGAACAAAAGCCCTGGAATTCCCGATTTTCCCTGGGTATCTAGCAGAAGCCCTTTCAATGATGCCAGTGAAAACACCGTTTTTCTAACTCACATGTTATGAGCAAACAAATGTTTCATTTTGTTTTGGTAGAACCATAAAGTTTTTACCAAAGCCTTACTATTTAATATTTACTTAGGCAAATATCACATTTTTCTTAAAACAGCAAGTTTCTAATAGAATAGTCTCACTCTGGATGTTTAGAGAAAGAAAAACACCAAACTTAGAGCTGCTGCCCAAAGTACTGAGTTTTGCAAGTCGTATTTACGCCCGTACTGCTCCCTCAAAGAACTATTACATAAATTATCTCTAAGTTGCAGGTGCCCAACCGTTTCCCTCGGAAATGCCTGGCTTCGACAGCCGGACGCTGACCAAGTGGAATCAAAAGATCCAAAGCATTCAAGCCCTGAAACTTTATCTAATCTTGCTTACGTGACTCTAGATCGCCAAGGCAGATAACCAAATGATTTCTATTTTCTTCTGTAAAATAAGAAGGGAAATACCTGCTCCACCATCACGGCTGCGTCACTGTTATCATTAAGTGAAGAAGCAACTCCACAGAGGGTCACTCACAGACTGGCCTTCGCTTCTCCTCTCCAGCCCAGGCTGAGCCCACAGCAGACGGAGCTGGTGACACCCTCGTCCCTGGTTCTCTACACTCAGTGAGGGATGCTCCCCTCACCACCAGCAGCAGCCATGGACCGCGGCGACACACGCTCTGACACTCGTGCCGCCATGGCGCCCGCTCGCTCCCGGGCACCTGCCACGCGCGCCTCCAGCCCCCCTCCGGCTGAGTTTCCCAGGCTGGCCCGGCGCACACGACCCCCGTCCCGCTGCGCGCCCTTCCCGCCCCCTGGCGGCGCAAGGACCCTAGCCCGCGAAGGCTGCGTCCGCTCTGCCCCCCAGCTCCTGCAACTCCCCCAGATTGCGTGCATGCCCTGACCAACTTCTCCCCTAAAACATCACTTCCTAGTCACCCCAGGCCGACGAGGGCGGGGTGGTCGCGAGGCTGCGACTCCTTACCTGGGAGCTTGAGCGCTCTGGACAGTACGGTCGCCATGGCGGAGACCCTAATACGCGTGCGCGCGCCCGCGTCCTGCCGGGAAGTGTAGTTCCAAGTGGGCTGCCCTCCTGGCGGGGATATGGGAAAGGTGGGACCCGCAGGGCTGAACGCAGTCAAGAGGAGGCGCCTTGCGGCTCCTACCTCCACCCCTACGTACACATGCCTGCAGACTTCCCTCACACCTACTATGAGCCAGACTCTTTATGGTGGCAAGTTACCTGTCCACTGGGTCTTACTTTGCTTCTCAGTAAAGTGGGAGCAGTAGTAAAAGCCCTCCTGGTTCTCAGTGAGAACAGAAAAGAAAAAAAGGGGGAAAAACACCACCAAAAAACAAAACAACAAAATACTGTTGTGAAAGGAGCTTGGGCTTTGGAGTCACAGGCTGAATTTGAATCCTTACTGCATCATTTACTAGCTGGGCCATCTTGGGCAAGTCATTTGGAATGCCTAAGCTTCAGCTGCATTTTTAAAATGTAATTGATATTAGGCATTTGTGTGGATCATAACAAACTGTGGCTGACTCTGAGAAGAATGGGAATCCCAGAACATTTAATTGGGCTAATACGAAACCTATACTTGGACCAAGAGGCAGTA